TATAGTTCAGAGTTAAACCTTTAGCCATAAAAGGTATACTCATGTTAAAGATCTCCAAGTTTTTCCTGGGAAAAAAAATAGATCATAAATCTGATTCCCACTTTTACTTTTACACCTTCCCTTTATTTTCTTACCCAGGAGTCTACCGACAAAAGCCAAAGGTAACTGCTATTTTCAGCTTCCTGATATTCCTCATTATTTAAAAAAGAAAAAAGAAAAAAAAAGCCTCACTGCATCTTTTGGGACTTTCTAAAAAGCATGGTAGGAAAACATGCCAGATACTCCAATGGACCGACAAAGTGAGACTCCTAAGTGCAGGGTTCTAATGCTCAACTTTAGCATTATCTTCTTCAGCCTCTTAATCAATAAACATACTTCACTGGAGATTTCACAAAGAATGAATACAGAAAATCCCTAACAAATAGGGTCTATAACAACTAGCACCAAATACTACACAGAATAAAATTCCTGCCATCAAAAAACCCACAATCACCAGATGGTTGCTGTTTCAGAAACTTAAGTAGTCTGCAGAGAATCTAGCTTTCTTAAGTAGAATATCCAAAAAAAAAAAAAAAGGATAGGCATGGTAAGTACCCAGGAACAAAACAGGAAGACAGATCACTCAAACTCCAGAGGGACATTTCAAAGTTTCACTGTGATTCACACCATAAAGCGGGGGAGGGGGAGCAGTGGAGGGAGGAATCTGAGTGTTCCAACCTGAAAGAGAAATTTAAAATCAGCCTCTCCCCCATTTTAACTCTAGATTAAAATCCCCAAAGCTGTGGGGCAAATATGTCAAAGCACAAAGAGAAGTTTAAGAAATAAATTCTCACCACACCCAGCTAAGCACAATGGAACTGCTCACAAGATCCAGGTTCTGGTCAATCCTCTGCCACAATCAGGAACAGCAAGACACTCAATACAGATCTGCTAAACTAATACTCTTCACTAAATCCTTGAGGGTAATAAATAGATGGACCAAGTCTGCAGTCAGGCAAATAGTTTCATCTCTGAGGGTTTCAGGTTTTACATTTGTAAAATTCCATGATTCAAAACTCATGTTTCCATTTTAAATTAAGATGAAAAACAAGGTTATGTAATACTAAACCGAAAAAGTATACTATGTATTAAAAAATTCCAATGTCAAGTCTTCCGTTCCCACGTTCTTCTATATTTTTAATCAAAGGAAAGGAAGCAACTGTAAAATACAAACATTGAACAAATTAACTCTAACAGTAAGACACATTGCTGATGTCATTAAACCTAAAACAAAGTACCAAACCTATTTTCAACCCCTCTTAAAAAAGATCTGCCTTTAATTTTTCTAATACATCTCTAATTTGTATCTGCATAAATTCCAGTACATTAAAATGACAAATATTTATTTTTCTCCCCAGCAATATGTCAGATGGGTAAAAATACACAGCCTATAAAAAATACACATTTAGAGGGCCGGCCCGTGGCTCACTCGGTAGAGTGCGGTGCTGATAACACCAAGGCCGCGGGTTCGGATCCTATATAGGGATGGCCGGTTTGCTCACTGGCTGAGCGTGGTGCTGACAACACCAAGCCAAGGGTTGAGATCCCCTTACCGGTCATCTTTAAAAAAAAAAAAAAAAAAAAAAATACACATTTAGAAACTATGAAAATCTAACTTTTTTCATTTTACCACACCTTCAGGCCTAACTTATTAGTTTCAATTCTGCTCTTGCTCTATTTCCAGTCAGTTTCACTTCTGAATTTTCTGCCACAAAGTTAAGGACTGTGATCTTGTGGAGAAATTTTAAAGTAAACACTAAATGAGAATAAAGCTTTTCCTTTCAAAGCAAAACTAAACATTTCACAGGAAACACAAAGAAACCAAAAAAAAAAACGACAAAACTTGAAATTCCTGATGGCATTTTGTCACATAAGAATAATGATTTTAGGATGCTGATGTCTTCTTTAAGTTTCCAAAGCTTCCTCATATAGTGGTATTTACAAGAACCAAAGCAGCTCAAAAACTGTCATTATTTTATTTTATAGATAGACACCTATATACTACATTTTGTTCTTTGAGTCACAATGGACTTAATAAATATTTGTGGAAGGGATAAATACACATGGCATATTACTGTGCTGCATGGGGCATATGTTCCCAATAACATACAGCTTTCTCTCAACAATCAGTGGACCAACAAAATAGATATTTTTTTAATAATAAAGATTATTAAATTAGATTAACAAAAGTAAATAATAAATGAAAAAGTAAATAAATACGTAAAGGGGAAATATATATCACAAGTACCTAAATTAAGCTTTATATCTGCTTTTGTGCGTCTATTATTTTTTTTTTCCTGTATATGTTTCAATCCCATGGAATCCAATTTTTCTTTCCTCTCTTTAGACTGTCAAGTTCTTCAAAGGAAAGATCTATATACAAAGCAAAATTAAAAAATAAAAATATACTAAGTTCCTATTATGTAATCAGCACAGGTGCTGTAAGAAATAAAATATAAGGCATGATGGTCCCAAACCTTGAAGTAACCTAAGACTTTTCACCAGAACGCTGCAAAGAAATGGGAATCAAAGATCTAGACTGCAATCCCTATGTTGATACTCTGTGTGACTTTTTAAAAAAGTCAAGGAAGTTACCTAGACCTTAGATTCTTCATCTGTAAAATCTCCTGATATAAATCTCCCATGCAGAGGAAGTCCAAATAATTTATGTGTTAGGTTTGGCAAGATGGAGAAAAAAGAGAGAGACTCGAGCCAGGCGCTGTTGCAGCCAAGAGGCTTTATTCCACCAGCATGGAGGGGAGACCGATTCAGATCAGCTCCCGGCCCCATACAGGCTAGTAGAGGCTTTTATAGGGTTTGAAATCGATTTAGGCACTTTGTAATAGTTTTTGCAGTTTTTCTCAGAAAACAAGAGGTCTAAGAGACAGGGTGGGACAAGGAGGAAGAGAGTGGAAAGTTGCTTATTATGGCTGCACTGATGTTAAGCTGACCATGAGGCCTAATATTATGTAGATACTCTGCCCTCAAGGAAAGTGAGCATAAATCCCCACTTCTTAAATTTGGGCTCCATATAGTGACTTTCCTCCAAAGAATACAGTATGGAGGGGTAAGACCAAAAGAGTAACCTTACAGCAGAGAAACCTGACAAACACTACCTATGATACTGTGATTTACAATAATAAATATATATCACAGTCTTTGTCTCCAGTTCCTGGCACAGAGCTCCTAAAACCCTTGTCATTTCCTGAGCAACAAGCGAGCTAGGAGAATCTTTTCTTCTCATCTTTGTCCTTTGACTCCAGTGCCTGACACGGAGCACCTAATCCGTTGGAATTTCCTGGGTGACAGAGAGTTCTAATGAGATCACTCTTGGTGGGCCCCTGGATCAGGGCTGGTCACCAGGAAGACCAAGCCATGATTAGAGGGGCTGAAGATTGAGTTACTAATGGATCATACCTATTTGATGAAACCTCCATAAAATTCCTGAAACTAGGGCCGAGCCCGTGGCGCACTTGGGAGAGTGCAGCACTGGGAGCACAGCAGCGGCTCCCGCCGCGGGTTCGGATCCTATATAGGGATGACCGGTGCGCTCACAGCACTCACTGGCTGAGCGTGCGGCTGGTCTCAAAAAGGACAAAAAAAAAAAAAAAAATTCCTGAAACTACAGGGTTGGGAGAGCTTCCAGTTTGCTGAACATGTGTAGGGTAGAGTGTCCTGAGAGGGCATGAAAATTTTGGGCCACTTCACCCATACTGTTCCCTATGCATGTCTTCCATTTAGCTGTTCTTTTGTAATACTCTTTATAATAAACCAATAAACATAAGTCAAGAGCTTTCCTGAATTCTGTGAGCCACTCTAGCAAATGATTGAACCTGAGGAAGGGGTTGTGAGAAACCCCAATTCATAGCTGATTGGTCAAAAGTTCCAGAAACCCAGACTTCAGATTGGCATCTTCAGATGCATCTGTAGTGGGGGGCAGTCTTGTGGAACTCAGCCTTTAACTTGTGGAATATGACACTAACTCCAGGTAGATAGTGTCACCCTATTAGGGTCCACTGGAGAATTGTTTGGTTGCGGGTGTTGGAGAACCCTACACATCTGGTGTCAGAAGAGTTGTGTTGAGAGTAAACGGCTACTTCAAAGAATTAAGTGTTAAAACAGAAAAAGATAATACTTAACCCTTGGCTTGGTGTTGTCAGCACCACGCTCACCCCGTGAGCGAACCGGCCATCCTTAACCCTTGGCTTGGTGTTGTCAGCACCACGCTCACCCCGTGAGCGAACCGGCCATCCTTAACCCTTGGCTTGGTGTTGTCAGCACCACGCTCACCCCGTGAGCGAACCGGCCATCCTTAACCCTTGGCTTGGTGTTGTCAGCACCACGCTCACCCCGTGAGCGAACCGGCCATCCTTAACCCTTGGCTTGGTGTTGTCAGCACCACGCTCACCCCGTGAGCGAACCGGCCATCCTTAACCCTTGGCTTGGTGTTGTCAGCACCACGCTCACCCCGTGAGCGAACCGGCCATCCTTAACCCTTGGCTTGGTGTTGTCAGCACCACGCTCACCCCGTGAGCGAACCGGCCATCCTTAACCCTTGGCTTGGTGTTGTCAGCACCACGCTCACCCCGTGAGCGAACCGGCCATCCTTAACCCTTGGCTTGGTGTTGTCAGCACCACGCTCACCCCGTGAGCGAACCGGCCATCCTTAACCCTTGGCTTGGTGTTGTCAGCACCACGCTCACCCCGTGAGCGAACCGGCCATCCTTAACCCTTGGCTTGGTGTTGTCAGCACCACGCTCACCCCGTGAGCGAACCGGCCATCCTTAACCCTTGGCTTGGTGTTGTCAGCACCACGCTCACCCCGTGAGCGAACCGGCCATCCCTATGTGGGATCCGAACCCAGGGCGTTGGTGTTATCAGCACTGCACTCTCCCGAGTGAGCCACAGGCCGGCCCAATTTTTTAAATGCATTTTTTTTTTTTTTTTTTTTTTTTTGCAGCTGGCCAGTACCGGGATAGAACCCTGGACCTCAGTGTTATCAGCCCTGCACTCTAACCAACTGAGCTAACTGGCCAGCCTAAAAAATGTAAATTTAAATAATAAAAATATATGTACCTATGAGCGTAGTTCAAAAAGTTCATGGTAAAATATAATTAAAAGATAATACAAATCTCTCCATGAACTTTTGAAGTAACCTTGTATATGTATGTATATACAGTATGTGTGTATATATATATGTAATTTGTATACATGAAATCATGTTGGAAAACTTACGATGACCAAGACTGGCAAAAACGTGGCAAAACAGATCCTGTCATAATTTGATGGTAGGAGTGTAAATAGGCACATCCTTTTTGGGAAAAACTTTGTCAATATTTTCTAAAGCCTATAATATATATATATATATACACACACACACACACACACAATCCTTTGAATGATTTCACTGCTCAAAATTTATCCTACAGAAATATTAGCACAATTGTACAAAGATGTCTGTATATGGATATTCATTGCAACAACGTAATAGAGAACTGAAAATAGTCCAAAACTACACCAATAGGGTGTTAGTTAAATAAACATAATTGAGCATTATTATGCAAAATGTGGTAGATGTATATATACTGACATGGAAAACTGTCCAAGAAAAAAATAATAAATCACAAAATTTTAAAATCTTTTAAAAGGAAGGGATTAAACCAGGTTAGGTATACTTAATCTGGGGTCTTCCATTTATACTTCAAGGGAAGCAAACCTGCATGCAAAAACTGTGTGTTTAGGCATATACGTAAGTACATTCTCTAATGAAAGAGTCCTTAGTTTTTATTGAATTTTTAAAGAAATACATCTCCATTAGCCAACCACCAAAAATAAAAAGGGCTGCTGGTTAGCTCAGTTGGTTAGAGTCATAAAAAAGAAAGAGAGAGAAAAAGGGAGAGAAAGAGAGAGAAAGAGACAGAGAGAAAGAAGAGAGAGAGGAAAAGGAAAGATGTGATCCTCTAAAAGGGTAACTAAACAATCACTAAAAAGCCTCAGAACTCTGAGTATCTGAGAAATGTTGTTAGGTTATTATACTCAAGTGAGGAGGAAGTCTTTGGGGAGGAAATGCCCTCAATTAAGCTTTGAGGACATGTTAAATGCCTCTATCATAAAACACAAATTTTTATCTCAAGACTCCTAAATCTAAGAGTGTGAGGTTATTTTTCATATGAGCCTATATTCACTCACTACTAAATTACAAACCTCAACCAAAAAATTAAAGAGCAAGAACAGTCTTCAAAATGCTTAAATTACAGTTCAAGTAAGATCATAAGAAGCAGAAGGAGACAAAGATTAAGCAGTAGTCCCATCTGACACAGTCAAGGAGCTGATATCAACTGTAGTTAGCACTTACATATGTAAAGGTTCAGGAGTTATACGGGCTTAACTTTTAATATAAGTCAATTAAAATAAGGCAAATAAATTAGGTCTTACACATAGTTTGGTGGGCTTTCTTTGCATAAAAACAAGTCTTTTTCTAAAGGCAGACAGGGCAGGAGGACTCCAGTACTTTGGGAATAGATGTTAATTAATTAACATTAATTAATTAAAGTTAATATTTTAAATATGACAGCCACTTTTAGAATCAATAGGACTTAATGAAGATTGGAATAAATGAGTAGATAACAGCAAGGATACTCTCTATCCTAAAATGAAAATATACCTTAGAAAAGTGGCTCTCAACCAGGGGTAATTCTGCCCATTAAGGGCATTTGGCCACATCAGAACACATTTTTGTTTGTCAGGACTGGGGAGGTGGCTACTGTTATCTTATGGGTAAGAGGCCAGAGATGTGGCTAAAAATCATATAGCTTACCCCTACACACACAACCCCAAAATGTCAACAATGCCAAAGTTGAGAAATCTTGGCTGGGGAACCACTGATTCTATGCTTTAAGATAACTTTATCATAGTAATCCTAAATGAACAGGATCTGTTTACTCGTTTAGAAATATTGACACCTTGCCAACTAGCATAGGATGTATTGAAGTGCACGATTTTCAAAGTGTTATTTTTTAAAAAGTTAATAACTGGCTTTTCAATTTATCTAAACCACTGAAATTTTGTAAAGCCATAGGCAAAAAAAAGACAACAAATTAATGCTAAAAGAAAAAAGTTTTATACACACAGACCTCCCTCTCACTTTCACAAACAATACCTAGTGAAAGAAGCCAGACACAAAAGAACATATTTTGCATGATTTCATCTATATAAAGTTCAACAACAGGCAAAAATTGATCTCTTGCGTTAGACATCAAAAAAGTGTTTCCTTTAAAAAAAAAAAAAGGATAGGTGGAAGTGGGAAAGAACATAAGTAGAACTTCTGAGACATTAATAATTTTGTATTTCTTAATCTGGGTGTTAGTTACATAATTGTGTTCACTTTGTTACAATTCATCAAGCTGTGTACCAATAATCTGTGTATTTTACAGATAACACTTTCACAATTTTTTTTTAATATATATTTATATCCGAAAACCCTGAGCATTTTGAACCCAGAAAGCTAAATTAATGTCAACTGCAAAAGTAAAACTATTTTGTTACATAGGCTGTCTTCCACGAATTTAAAAAGGATGACACCCCCATAAAGCTGTAAATAGCATACTCAGCGTTCATACAGCATTCAGCTGTACACTTAAGCCACTATATATCCCACGGCACCAATCCAAAAATTTAACAAACACTAACAAATGCAGTTAAATTTATTCCATGGACAGTGTGTTTGTGTTATTTCCCCAATGTCAAACTGCGAACTTTATCAGAGAACAAGCTCTATGAAGTAAGTGATGCTTTCTCTTTCCTGATCCCACATGTTCTCAAAGCTCCCCAAGCTAAATCTCTCTTGGCCCCTCAACTCCTTATTATTTCTCCAGGCAGTTTCTAACAGTGCCCACTATTGCCTCTCCTCTCTCTCTCCTCCACCTCCCACACAAATGTAAGTTCACATTAATGCTCATTCCAGAGACTAATCTCCCCAGCCAGACTTTTACCCTCTCCCAGTACCTCATAATACAATTCGAACCTCACTACCCTCAAACTCTCAATATCCTCCACAAACTCCCTGCTCAACAGGGAGCACCACAAAACCAGAACACATGCTATCTCAGTTTTTTAAATCCTCCTCTACCGCACAAAAAGCCTTTGCTTCTGCAAACAATTCTGCCTCCTTATTCAATGACCATTACTGTAGCTGTTATCTCTTCCCTCCCTCTTTCCTGTATTCAAATCCATTCCATTCTCACCTACCCTCTCCCCACAACCTCTGCTTTCTTCTTTACGAATCCTTCCTAAATCTCAGAGACAGGTATGGAAAGTTGGAAGAAGGGGATGAAGGAACTTGCTTTGCCTTGGGTGAAACTGGTGGGAAGGTTGCTCTAGGCTCCAGCAACACAAACTACAGATTCTGAAGCCCAGCCCCACCACTTACTAATGGTAAGGCTTTGGACAAGTCTCAGTTTGCTCAACTGGAAAATGGGGATTATAAAAACAGCTATCTCATAGAATTGTGAGGATTCAGTTAACTAATGGCTACTGATTTGCACAAATCCAAAATCGAAATATCTCAATAACTGTCAGTTTCTCTTAGGTCCTCTTCTTGGAAGGAAGAATAAAGGGAGAGGATGAAAGGTACTTTAATTTTCTTTAATGCTAACATTCCTTCAAAGTCTCCTCTTGGGGAACGGAGGCAAGGCAAGAGATAGAAGGAGGGAAGACTTACTCCACATATATATGGGTAATAGAATTTTATCAGATCTCCAAATTCAGTGTTCCCTCTTTCTTATCCTCCTACACTGTGGATCCAAAAAGCCCTCAAAGCCCTTGCTAAACGATGGGGGAAGACATGGAGGGAAACATCAAATCCTCTTTCCACAGCTTCTCATTGGAGTGAATAAAGTAAAAGAGTCCCCCTAATTACTAAAATACGCTCTTTGGTGGTGTAAGAATTAGGAAGGAACCCCCGAAGTGTCAAATGCATGTCTCTAGGGAGGCTGAGGGGAAGACTTCAGAACAAGGAGAGATTCAAAGTAAATGCTGGAAACCCTGAAGTCGCCTCACTGCTCTGGCAGGAGAGTACCAACTGGTTTCTCCGTAAGCGGGGGTGACCGGGTGGGGAGAGAAAGGGAACACGCTTTCGCTGTGTCTCGTGGGACATCTGGGCTTCCCCGGGTCCCTCCCCAGGAGGGCTGAGGGGAAGGGTCTGCGCAAGGGAATCCCCAGCTTCCTACTACAGGAGAGGGGCCTGGTATGGGGCCCCCAGAGAGTTTCACTGGCTCTCTGCCTGACCCCCCACAAGCCTATCTCCTGTAACGGGATTCTCCTGGCACACGGGGATCTCCCAGAAGTTCGCCATCATTTGGACCCCTTCCCTCACAAGAGCTCCTGACAGCCTTCCTCACACCGGCGAGCTCTCCCGGCCACTTCCCTGGTTTCCTGGCTGGCACAGGGTCACCCGGAGCCAACAGGATCTCCACGAGGGCCTCCCCCGTCCCTCCCGAGCGCCGCGAGCCCGCGGGCTTACCTGCTGAGACGGCAGCTCCACATGCAGGGCCCGCGCGGCAGAACCGGGCGGCAGCGCGGCGGCCGGGCCCGGGGGTGGCGGGGGAACCGGGCCCCCGACCGACGCTGAGGCGCTCATCTCGACCCAGGGGCCGCCAAGCGGCGGGGCAGGGGCCCTTCCGGGATCCCCCGCCCCCCCCCCGCACC